CCTGCCAGTGGCTCTGCAGCTCACCTCCTTTTGGCAGGAGGCAGGGGGAGACAGAGAAGGGCAGCATGCTGAAGATGTGAGGGCCTGGGCTCCTGGCTTCCCCATCTGTAAAATTGGGGGGCCAGAACAATATAATCAGCAGGTACCCCCAGCACTAATGCCCCAGAATTCAAGGATGCCCTACAGCTTCTCCTTGCAAAGTGGTTTGTGTCACAGTCACCATCAAGATGGTGCTGGGAGGGAGGGAAAGGGAAGGTGGACAGGGTGTCACCACCACAAGAAAGTGTGGGGTAAAAGTGACTTTGGAATCTAATGCCTGGTGCCCTGACTGAGCGGCCTTTGGGACAAAATCGCAACCTCTGAATGCTTCAGTCCCGCTGCCCCTGGCGGGCACTATTGGTAAGACTTGCCCTGGTACCTCTGAGGCTTGTGAGGAAAAGACAGAAGGCTGGAGTCAAAGAAAGGCCCCCTCAGATGGGGGGGCACCGGGCTCCTGCTGGAGGCAGCACTGCCTAGCGGTCACCTTCTTGGGGCTCTTGGGCTGCCCAGAACCCAGGTTGAGTATGGCCTCATTCCCCGCTAGCCACGTGACCTTGGCCAAGTGAGTTCACCTTTCTGTGCCTCAGTTTTCTCATCATTCAAACGGGGATAACTCTCCTGAAGAGCCTCCAGCCTCAAAGACAGCCGAAGCCACGGTGAGGTTGGCTGGGTCTTAGTAACGTGGACACTCAGGCCAGCCCAGGAACTCTCCCAAGGTGGGGACAAGGCTTCTCAGCACAGCTCACTCCCATGGCCAAGACTGCGGGGAGGGCGCGCGGCGTCCCTCTTGGCCACGAGGTGGCGCGCTCGGCCCCAGGACCGCGAAGGCGCGACTCACCAGCTCGGCCAGGTCCTGGCCCCGCAGCAGCGGCTTCTCCTCGGGGAATCGCAGCTCCTGCAGCCCGGCCATGGTCACGTCGTGGAGCAAGAGCCCTAGGGAGGGAAGGGGAGGTTGTAGCCTGCTGCGGCGGGACGCACGGGCCCTGCTCTAAATCTCCCGGGCGGAGGACAGCGCAAGCCAGGGCTGGGGCGGGGGCAGCGGAGACCACACTGACGCGTCCCTCCCCCACGGCCCCAAACGCAAGCCCATCCCGAGCGCTTCCCCCAGGGCACCAAGGTCTCGGTCTGCAAGACAGGCCTGTTTGGCTCAGGGATGTCACATTACTTGCTCTTAAAAGTTAAAACGTTACCAAAAAAAAAAAAA